GGGCGAGGGAGGGTGAGTTTGAGGTGTAAAAAATAAATCTTTTTATTAAAAAATTTTTTTAAAATCATTTTATTGGGGGCACGTACAACTCTTATCACAATTAAATGTCCTTTTAAAAAAGTCATCCAAAGTGGTAGCATTGTTTGGGAAATTTCTTCAGGCCACCAGATCAAGGGCATTTGAAAGGTGTATAAAAATAAACCATCACATACACTGGAAATGCAAGGAGTCATCATTGGGAGTCAGCTTGCAGACTCTAGTGATGTCCAAAGCATCATGGGACCCACCTGGGTGTGACTGATGACCAGAAACTCCAAAATTCACTAACGGCCTGTTGACTCATAGGTTTCTGAGGCTGAAAAGCAGAAAGCCTCCTCTTTCTCACACAGGGCAGCTGGTGGTTTTGAATCGCTGACCTTGTAGTTAGCAGCCCCACTTATAACATGCTATGCCACCAGGGCTCCCTTTCTGATGACCACAGCAGTGATAAATCCCCCTGACCTTGGTCTCTGGGGGTTTGGTGACCTAGGATAAATCCCTGAGGGGAAAAATAGCTCCAGCAAAAAAAAAAAAAAAAGGAAAAGAAAAGAAAAAAATAGAAACAAAAGAGGCTCTCACAGACAGCAATTCTCAACTCTGTCCTGCAAATGGAATGAATCTTCTCTTTCTCACTGCGGGGCCTGTATGTTTCCCAGGGACAATCATACACCTTCAGGAATATTGCCAAATCACACACCAGTTAATAAACAAAACTTTATTTTTCTTTGATACAAAAATTAAATAGCAAGGTTTCTTTCCCTCTCTCTCTTTTTGTACAGTGATAAATTAGAAATGTACAGTACAGACATCAATGCAGACACGCTTTATACATCCTTAATAGCAGGGTCCATTTCCTTTGAAGTTCTGCGATTCACTCAGGGCCTGTGCAGTAGGAGTTGGCCTGGTACCTCTACGTCAAACACCTGGAAGTGCCCCAGGCTGAGTCAAAGCCGCTGAGCTGTGGGGTGGCGCGGGACACACGTAGCTGCTGCACAGAGCAGGTTGGGCCATCTTTTATCCTCATATCTGATATTTATCCCACCTTCCTTACAAAGAGCCCCAAATCCTTAGACAACATTGTTGGTGAGGTAGGAAAACAATACAGAGCTTTCTACAGGCCCCACTGGGAGAGACATAAGAAGCTGCTTCTCTCTCCCAAACCCCAACTGCCCCTGAACAAGATTTGGAAACGTCCACAACTTGGAGAGATGCACCCCACCCGACCCCCACCTTCACAGGGCAGGGCTGCTCTTGCCTCTGTTCTCAGAAGCCTTCTGGGATGACAGTGGTCATGGACTGAATGTTGTAGATCAAGGAGGTACAAAAGCTTTGAGGACATGGCTCATATAGGGTCCCAGGTAGGCCCTCTACAGGTGGCCTGGGGGAATACTGAGACTTTACTAATTCAAAGATGAGGAAAAGGCAAATCAGAAACAGAAATAGGCAAGAGGTTTACCAAGGGGAAGCGGCTTCTGGGGAACCCTAGCTTCACTTCCCTCCTGGTACTGTCAGGCGTAAGAGGCAGCCCCGGAGAGCTAGCCAGGCCGCAGTGAAACAGAATCCATTATTCAGGGCGCTAGTATCTGATCCTTGATAGGAGCAAAGTGTCCTCCTAGGAGTTTGCAAGACCTGCAACCGAGGCCAAGGAAAAATGATAAGCAGGTCCTTTGCCAGACATAATACAGACCCAGACTGAGCCTCCAATTTCAAATACAAGAAAAGAACAAAAAGAACTGTTAAAGTTCCGTGAGTTGGCAAGGCTCTCTGGACCAGCGACTCTCTCCAGCGCCTTCCACTGCAGAACTAATTCAGGATGGAGGGTGATTCTAAGTGGCTCCTTCCAAAGTCTGTCCTTTGTGGCATTTATTCCCAACTGCTGCGGAGGCCACCTTACCATATGCCGGAGTGCGCCTTGCTAGGGAAATGCTTTTCCATTGACTCTGTCCCTCCAGGGTGAGTCTGAAGACACCTTTATATTCTCGGATCCCTGCTGAGTCCCCCAAGTACACAATGGCCAGGAGGGGACCAGGGAGTAAGCAAGAAGCTGGGTAGCATAATTCAGAAGCTAACGACAGAAGTGGCTTACATTCTGGGGTAAGAGAGTGTGACCAGGAAAGGAAAGTCAGAGAACATCTCAGGGAAATCACATGTGTCATTTCTCCGGTTTCATGCCCCTAAGCAAGCTGCCAACACACAGTCTCAGAGATCAGGAAGTGGGTCTCCAGCAGGGAACAAATACATGAATCAATCAGGCGACTCAGCTAGGTGGTTCTAGCCAGTCCCGCCCCAAAGCCCTCTTCCTTCTGGCTCCTTTAGGCTTGGCCCTTAGGAAAAAGACACCTGCCAGGGAGGAGGCCCAATGGAGCGACACTTAACAAAATCTCTGGAGGCTGGGGGATTTTTGTAAGGAGTGATAATCCCAACAGGGGGCTTCAAAACATTCACACACATACAAATCCCATTATCTTTTTACCAACTTTTTGAACCAACCTCAGCTCTCCCTGTCCCAAATCTCACCTTCACCGTTTCCTTACAAGGTGCAGTCCTCAAGTTTACTTACACGAGTCACCTGGAGCACACCACACTGTCTGTGCCCAAAGCCATTAGACGTGGGGGGCGCATGTCCTCATAATTTAGTCTCAAAGTCTTTCCAGGGACTCCACAGACATGGTCAGAAACCGGAGCTGATGCTTTTTGAAGAAAAAAAAAAAATCAAAACCCAGATATTTTATATAGGAAAAAATGTTCCTGAGGTGACATGAGTTGAAGAAGGGGTTTATGGGATGGAGGCAATGAGATAGAAATTTCAGGGGAGCACTGCCTCTTCACAAAACCAACAGCGAAGTTCGTCATCAGCCTGCATCACCTGGAACAGAGCTGTCACCCCTGAACAGACATGCGCATCCTCTCTGACGTCCCGAAGATGCCTAATGCAGGACTTTACACACAGTTGGCACTCAATAAACATGCTGGTAAATGGTTTTTTTTAAATTACAAGTTTAGGAGATGGAGTCATTTTGAGGTAATTGCTAACCGACTCCTTGGCCACCAAGTTCCTTTCCTGAAACTGTAAACACTCTGCATTGTCTGGCATGTGAAAGGCCTACAACCTGGTGACATTCATTGCTAAGGCTACTAATCCAGTCTGCACCAACAGGCCACTTTTGATTAAATATACTTCCCACTCAGAGAAGGCAAGAGATTTGTGGAACAGGAGTGTTAAAAGCCACGAATTGTTAAGGCACTAGCTCCAGCGCTCAAATGTCTTGGGTTCACTGGGCGACTTGTATTAGAATTATCCAATCATTGGAAATTAGCGAACATGATCTCCACGCCTGGGCCCCCGCTCGGTGCTGCCTTGGTCACTGGATTGCGGAACCAGTCCAAGGAAAATTGCCATACAAGCCCAAAGCTCCTGACAGTGAGGCCAGTTTTCCACTGCATGCTCCTGAGCTTCTGGGGCCAGAGTCTCTGCCCAACTCCCAAGGCACTAGACCGGAGCGTGAGTAAGGGCAGGCTCTGCCCCTGGGTGCTTGCTCCAGGGCCCCAGGCAGTGATGGGAACTGGCTGCAAGCAGTTCGCATTTTACTTTCCTAAGCAATGTTGAGACAGAGTTAAACTGGCCCTTTCAGGGGCTATTTCTCATGCTCTGGGAGCCCTGACCCAGAGTCCAGCCAAGGCACTCGGCCTTGGCAGACAGCAGCAGCATGGGCCATCCATGCCCACTTAGCTTCTGCCTCAAAAGTCCTCCAAAGTACATGCATACTTTCCCAAAATACATACTTTCCCTTCCAAGATACATGCTGCATCGTCTCAACAGGTCAACAACTGCCCAGAAACAAAGGGGAGATGTACTTGGTGTTTTATTTCCAGAATGTTGACCCCCTATTTGTAATTCTGAGCCCCTGGACATGTTTCTCCACAGAGGAGAACATACAAGAGAGTTCTCCTGCCTGCTTTAAATAGGCATGAATGAATGCATGCATAAATGAGTCACAGCACAGCAGGAACTAAAGCCAAGACAGGTATGAGTTAGAAGGAGAGCAACCTGTGACATTGTCAACCATTTGCCCCAGAGACCTGGAGAAGGCCTGAGGCAGGTTAATAAGAGAAGCCAGTTACAATTTTAAAAGCACTGCAACTTTGGAGAGGCTGGGAGGGGTGTACCCCCTTGTAAGGAAGGTAAAGCGTAAATCTGAAAGGCTGTGGAGACCTCCACAAAAGGCAATTAAGACCAGTGCCGCAAGAGTTTGCCGTTCATTTCATAGGACCCACACTTTATCCCCTGCTAACCAATCAAGCTCCTGGCTGGTCTTCTAGAGATTCATTAAGCACCATATAAATACTCCAGGCCACACTGCCTCCCAGGAAATCTTATAAGGAGCCTTTGCCAATTACAAGGAAACAATTATGCTCCAAGTGGTTGGATTAGCTGTCCTCAGTTCCCTTTACAAAATTGGAAAAGTCCCCATTGTTGTAAGTCGACAAGACTCAGATAACATTCTTAGGCTGAAGGGGAGGGGGAAGGCACTATCATTCTGAGACTGCAAATTGACTATAGTTTTAAAGTCAGCGAGTATACTGTGTCACGGTTCAAGAATGTGCTTTTAATTGTAATTGACACACACAAATTACACAGCTAATCTGTGTGAATGCCAAGTTGCCAAGAAATTTAACATTTCAGCCCCTCCAGACTGGCGTCTGCACAGATGCAATCACACAAAGGAAGATATATTAAATCCCAATTGCTCAATGCCAGTCTTGGGGGTCGGTAAGGTAAGTAGACTTGGTAAATCTCGGTTTCCTCTGAATTAAGTGATTGTCAGAAAGCGAATCGTCCTTCACGTCCCCCTCACTGGGAGTGCTGAAATTCCTATCAGAAAATCCCTTTTTGGGATTTTCAAATGCCACAGGAAGCCAATGGTAAGCCACCCAGCACAGAGATCCTACACTCCGAGAGAGAGAGAAAGAAGAAAACCCCACTGGATACCTTAGGTGTGTTTGTACAGTGCTCGTTTGTTCCAACAAATCTGCTTTATGACAAAGGCACTGACGGATTCTGACACCCGCTCTGGGGAGAGCCAGCCACCCCACTGTCAACAGCAGACACCGCGTGGCTGAAGATGTTTACGTTAGACCAGCCAAACACAAAACTCATGTAACACTTCTCTGAACCCAGCGTTTCCAGTGTTTATAGATTGCTTTGCTATTTGAAAGACCCAGCTTGCATTTAAATCTCAACAGGGTTCAAAAAACCCCCAAGCTATTCTTTCTCCCTGCAGGTTTCCAATTATGGGATCAAATCCCACCCTTGCAAGGAAATGCAGCCTCATCCTGGGCTGCCTGGGATCTAGGCAGGACCTCCACATGCCAAGCTGCAACCTGCTAAAGTGGTCAAGTTTGATTTTTCTTTGTTTTCACAGCTTTGAACGCCTTGTGACTGGCTCTTCTGTTTGGATCTTCCCAGAGTCTGCAGCAAAAGCATTAGTTTTAGGATGCTGAAGGGTGTGTTTGGGGGGAGGGGGTGGGGGACTGGACTGGGGAGGGGGCTCGCTGCAGTGTTACTTGTTTGTTCAAACTGAGATTTATTGCATACAGTTTTGAGCAGCATTTCCAGTGAAATGCTCATGTCCCCACCCCCCTTCGGAAACGAGGGCCCTGTGGAGGCTGGCGGGCTTTATACCACGGTTTCATTGCCTTTCCCGGACTTCACCCAACCATTCCCTCTCTTCTCTCGCTTTACCTTCCCAGAGTTCACCAATCTGTTGGAGCACTTCTGCCATGTGTGAAAAGTCTTGGCTGACCAAATCCACATGCCTGAAGTGATGCCTACCAGCAGAGACATGAAAATCTTTAACATTTCAACCGCCATATTGGAGTCGTCCGCAGAATACCGGAAGATGGCCCAGTTGGAGATTTCATAGAAATAACAGGCAATCACACAGGTGGCGGGGACCGTGTACAGCACGGAGAAGACTCCGATTTTGACCATCAGCCTTTCCAACTTGTCCGTCTTTGTCCCATCCTTTTGCAGGTTGGAGCGGATTTTGAACAAGGCCACCAACCCAGCGGCGATGAATAACGTCCCGATCACCAAGTAGGTGAAGAGGGGAGCCACCACGAAGCCAGTGAGGGCGTCCAGGTTCTGGTTCCCAACGTAACACAGGCCGGTCAGTTCATCCGCATCCACCAGTCTCATGATCAAGATGACAATGGTTTTCACTGCAGGGATGGCCCAGGCAGCGATGTGGAAATAAGAGCTGTGCATCTCAATGGCTTCGTGACCCCATTTGAGTCCGGCTGCCAAAAACCAAGTGAGCGTCAGGATAACCCACCAGATGGAGCTAGCCATTCCAAAAAAGTACATCAGCAAGAAAATGATTGCACATCCTGTATTCTTAAGTCCTTCTTGGATGAGAACAGGCTCTGCTGCCTCTTCAAAATCGCAGGATATCCTTTCCCGGCCCACAGTCAGCCTGACAATATAAGCAATGCTATAAATATTATAGCACATGCTGAGAAATATGATGGGGCGCTCAGGGTAGGAAAAGCGAGAGGAATCGATCAGGAAGGTCAGGACTGTGAAGGCGGTGGAGATGAAGCACAGGCTGGCCCACACGGCCATCCAGATATCGGTGAACTCCTTGGCTGAGCGGCTGTATAAGCCGGCGTCATAGCCACACTTGAGAACGCAGTTCAGGCTCCTTTTCACCCAGATGTACTGATCCGAATTGGTTCCCACGGAGTGGCACTCTTCCCCCGGCTGGATGGGGGTTTTGTGCGGTAAGGGCACCTCTTCATCACCCGGCCCTTCCATGCACATGTGATTGTGGTCGTTTTGGGGTGGGAATTTGCTGCAGTTCAGGCTCTCCGGCCAGGCAAATCCAAATTCCTTAAGGACTGGTTCACAGCGTCTCTTGACGGAAAGGCACATGCCACCGCATGGGCCAATGGGGATGTTGATCTTCTCTGTGCACATGGGCACATACACCGAACAAAGGAAGAACTGGAAAAGTAATGAACAAAGAAAACAATGACTTAGAAGTTGGGGCCAAAGGCTTGCACAAAACCGAGCTGCATGCATCCTGCAATGTACATACATATCTACTTTGAAAGTAGGACTGTTTACTCTGACCTCACACAAGTGTGCTTAATAACCCATCATTTATACACTTCTCTTAGTTTGAGTCTCGTAATCTTTTCTAGGGGAATAAAAATACATAGAACAATTTAAAGGGGGGGGTGGTGTTTGAAGAACAATCCCTTTCCACACAACACTCAAGGACATAAACCTTTGAAAACTGGCTTTCAAGCCCCCGCCCCTTTCAGATACGATTGGAAAGAGGTGAACAGATTCAACAAATAGCGGTCATTTCGTTGTTAGGGTGGTTTCTTTTTGTTGGGGGGAATAGTTTATTTTCATTTCCATATCTTTACACACAAAAAAACCTCAATACTAGAAAGCATAGGTTGTCTTTCTTTGGCTAACATTCTTTGTGTTCTGCCTTATCCTCTGCCCCCCCCCCCCTTCTGAAAAATCAGTTCCATATTGAAACATAAAAATGTCCTAATTGGGACATTGTTTGACTGAAGGATGTGAGGCAGATTGAGGTCTCTGGTCACCAGGGGTTTGTTTGGCCAGGTTTCCTCAATGAATAATAATGAAGTCCAATAGGAAAATGTAAATGTTAAGTCCCTGCAAACTGTAATACCAGCAGGGGAGACTCCAGTTGCTGTCCTCAATTCCTCCAGCATTGATAAACAGTCTGCTTGGCTCCTTACAGATGTTGTCTATGAAGTCTAGAGTTACAAGTAACTATTTTCCAGCATGTAAAGGGATACAGGCCTGTCCTTCAAAAACAGCTTGGCCGCTTCCCCAGGATACATGTAATTAAAAATATATATCCCTGCAAAAGCTGTTTTTCCAACCAAATTGCCACTGATGTCAGGCTGTGTGCTGTTTCCAAACTGAAAGCTGGAGGACTATTTCGTAGGCTGTTATAACCTACTTCCCCAATTCTGAAACTTCCAAAGGGACATTTCACCAGCACCAGGTCTAATCCCAACCATCTTTTCGAAACCGCAATCCAACTTTTAAAATGATCTATGTGAAAACACGCACCTAGTCAGTAAGCTGCATGTCTGTTTCTTATCTTTCAGAAGTTACAGCCAGACCCACAGACTTCTGAAGCTTGGAGCCAGGACCAGTACATTCTATTGCCCCACCACCCTCTAACTTCTCCCTTTTCTCGTTTCTAAAAGTGGCTGGGAGTCTCACCGGCCAGTGTTAACACTTCTTATACTTTCAGTCTTTACAGAAACAAGTTGGTTGTTTTCTGCATTATCACCCAGTCTATGTATGAGCATTTGCTGTATCATTACATAAGCTTTCTTTCTTTCTTTTCTTAAGAAGTTAATGACTGCATATCTCAGGATACAAACTGCTTTCCTGGAGTTTGTCCACACCGTCACCTTTTCCCCAAGCTGTGTTTTCACACTCTCCAACTGCTAAATCTGACCTCAAACCCAGAGGAGAAAGCACTGAAGGCAACCATGCCTTCCTGTGTGACCTCTACAATCTTTTGGGATCCCGCGAGGAGGGGCCGTCCACCGTGGTGTTTCATCTAATAATTCACCCCAGAAATACTGGAGAGAAGAGAGGTCTGTCGGGGAGGGGACAAGGAGGGAGAAGTTCCAGTCTCCTCTTTCCTTCCAAGTCTTAGCTGCGTGCAGCTGGATGCCCTGCCAGGGACTTGCTCCCCCCACCTAGCAGCGGCCGGAATCCTTGGCAAAGATAACCCTGAGCTCCTCTGGGGTTCGGGGCTGGGCCAGACTCGGTGGGCAGGGGAGAGGTGCGGAAGGGCGGGGTGGATGAGTGGGTTCTTTAGCAGGCCAGATGACTTACACAACGTTTTGGCTTCCAGGCCCTGAGAAGGGACAGAAAAGTGGGGGTGGGGATAGAAATCACATTTCCAGGAGTTTGATCCTTCAGGCTAGGAAAGGACTGAGGGGCTCCACTTGGCAAGGGTTCCGCAAAGTTAGTTGGGGCGTCCCTGCCCCAGCGGCCCCGTCAGGCGTAGGGGCTGGGGCCGGGAGGAGGGGGGAGGGACGCCCACCTGCAGCTGGCTGGAGCAGCCGTACTGGATGAGCGGCGTGAAAGTTGTCAGCTGCAGCTCGGCGTCCGTCTGCAGCTCGTGCCCCACCAGGTTGGGCATCTTGGTCACGTTGTAGCCGAGGTTCTGGCACATGGTGATGCGGATGGGGTCGCAGCGCCTCTCCTCCTCGTCCCCAAAGCCCCGCGCCGGCTCGGTGAGCAGCAGCAGGGGCAGCAGCAGCCGCAGACGGAGCCCGACG